ATATATATATATATATATATATACATGTATGTGTGTATATATATATCTCAGAACCAATTTTAGGGGCTTTGGGGGAGGGATGGCTATTTATTTCTCTGTTGTAAAAGCTGACATATTTTTCTATCAAAGCTCTTTAAAGATGGTGAGTGGGTTAGCACTGGGTGCATTTAATTGCTTGAGCTGAAAATAATGGTGCCTTGTAAATTACTGGGTCCAAGTGCTGTGTTTTTGTTGTTGTTTTTACTCAGTATTTGCATAATCACTTCTTGTCATCACTGCTTTTTGCATTCAAAACCAAACCCCACACCAACATCTAGCCAAACCTCATGGGGAGGAGATGGACCCCAGGTGTGTGCTGATGGACGGGCTCTGCACCCCAGGCCACGGCAGGGAGGACAAGGACACCCGGGAAAGGCACCAGGCAAGTGTTCCACACAGACCAAACTGTCTAATCCTGCTGGAAATGACACTTTTAGTTTGGGAATATGTGGGGAAAAAGACCTAGAAATGTCTTATCGTCAGGGACTGTAGTGATGGGACAATGGATAATGGGTTTAAACTTAAATAGGGGAAGTTCAGGTTAGATATAAGGAAGAAGTTCTTTACTGTGAGGGTGGTGAGGCAGTGGAACAGGTTGCCCAAAGTGGTGAACGCTCCATCCCTGGCAGTGTTCAAGGCCAGGTTGGACAGAGCCTTGGGTGATGTGGCACCCCCATGGCAGGTGGGTTGCAACTAGATGATCTCAAAGTCCTTTCCAACCCAAACCAGTCTTTGATTCTATGTGTTTAGTTTTACCCCTGCTTCCTGTTTGCCTGGAGTTTTAGCAGTGTTCTGAAAGTGTTTTATTTTTTATTTGAAATGTTTTATTTCAAGTTTACCAAAACTTGACAAATTTGTTTAAGGCAGTTACTGGGATAACGCAGAACAACAGAACTTGAACCTCAGCCCAGGCAACGGCCTCTTACAGGCTCCCTCTCTTCTGTTTTAAAAAAATCAAACTCCTTCCTGCGTTAGATTTATCAGAGTAGTCTCAGAAAATCCCAGACTGATTTGGGTTGAAGGGACCTCAAAGCTCATCCAGTTCTAACCCCCTGCCATGGGCAGGGACACCTTCCACTAGAGCAGGTTGCTCCAAGCCCCTGTGTCCAACCTGGCCTTGAACACTGCCAGGGATGGGGCAGCCACAGCTCTTCTGGGCACCCTGTGTCCCACCACCCGCAGTGAAACCTGCTTTATACCCAGAATTACAATTTGGAGCAGGAAATACTGGGGTTTAGTTTTTAAAACCCTACCTAAATACCATAATTTGAGATTTTTCAGTTAAAACAAGAATTCCAGCTTATCTCTAAAGCTGCCTCTGGAATTTTTACACAGGGTGGGGTTTGGGTTTGGCTTAGGGCAAACCAGAGGTGTTCACAACTGCAGCCACAGCCGGTGCTATCCCGGCCCTGTTTCTCTTCCATCCTTACTGCACCCAGCCCATCTGGTCTGCTCTCAGTGCCAAGATAAGGGGCCTTGCCAGATACTCAAGCAAGCTGATATATTAGAACTGTATTTCTTATGAATTCTTTATTGTAGCTCGCAATCCAGCCCCCAAATTCCACCCCATCCACCAGTTCAGGCTGCCAGCATCTTGTGCTGATCTACAGTATCTCATGGTAAAGTCGTGGGTCTGATTCCAGGTGTTTTGTCAGAGAAAGACAGAAAAGAGTGTAGCAACAGATTAGCCTTTTATTGAATTTTCAACCCAAACTCCCGAACGCTCACTCTCAACCAAACAGCTGTAATATTATAAATGAACCTTTATTAAAGACACTTCAATGCCATTTGTTAGACACTTCAATATCTTACATGTTTGTCAATGTACAACATTGTACCAAGTTTTTCTAATAAATAAATAACTTTGTACACAAAAGTAATACTTCCTCTTTCACATTGCCTCTTAGAAGCAGCAAATTCACATATTTAGTGGAAGTCAGAACATTAGGCAGTTAACTTTATGCAGAAACATTACTTTCCAATGTTAATGTGGCAAATATGCTTGGTATCCGCAATGGCGATGACATTTCCACCAGCGAAACGAGCTCAGTGAATCATTCCCATCTTCCCCAATCCCAATCATTCCCAATGTTTGCACCTTGCCAGTGGGCTCCGCAGCGCAGTTTGCCCTCTGGTAAAGGGGAAACGACGCTGGGTTTGTAATTCCCCCAAACATCCCTTTCCTTCGCTTTGAATCAACTTGGCACTCAACATCATCAGCCACCTGCCCCAAAGTGCAAACGTGTCAATAGTCAGGAACTGATACAGACAGGTACCTGGCTGAGTTATGCCTCGCTTCCTCAAGGTCAGGTCCAGCTGGTCCACACTGAAACCACCATCACAGGCAGAGCCCGAAGCGATGGAGCTGAACAGCAAATGAAATGTGTCTGTCCTTACCTACGGTGCTTGTTTTGAGCCACCGACCGAGCAAAGGTGGATTTTCCACCACTTGGCTTCAGTGGAGCTGGCGTTTGAGTTGCTCCTAAGGAAAAAAAGAGTAACAACCCCCCCTAATAAACCTTCCCCCAAAGTAGTCATCACCAGAGTCAGCAACCTTTATGTTAGCAGAACTCAAATTACAAACAACTGGGAGTCCTCCATCCACAGGTACCAACACCAACAGAGAGCAGCCTTTCTATAAGTACACAGCGTCATCGTGAAGTCAGAAGTGACAAAGATCTGTGTGACCAATGTGGGTAGTTCTTTTTCCCCCCATTCATGGACAAACTTAAAAGACCACATAAAAATACTTGGGACGTTGCCATCTAACAGAGCACTTTCAACCATAACTACACAGTTCCCCTTCTAAATGAGTGTGTTTCTGAGCAGCCCAGGGCTGCTACACAAGGCAGCCTAATTCATTCGAAGAGGGTATTTTGACAGAGAGAGTCTGGCTGCGGGTTGGGTTAATGGTGTTCGATGGGAAAATGTAATATTGTGTTGCAGGAAAGAGAAGTATCGGATGAGTTAAGGGTACAGCTGTCAGCTCAGGAGTGTGAGTTTAGCTCTGTTGTCACAACAGCTCTATGGTTTCAAACCCCCTCCAGAACAGATGGATTTTTTTTGGGTGTGAAAATGCATTTTACTGGCACGGGCTCTTCCTTCCAAACAGGGCCAAGCTCCATCATTCCACACACCTTCCAGAGGCAAAGCTGTGTCCAGCTGGGAAGGGAAGTGGCTGCATTAGGGCTGGAGGCACCCAGTGCTGTGACAGTGCACTAGGGGCAGATAACGCCTCTGCTGCGAGGCACTTTGAGCAATGCAGTGGATGTGACCGCCCCACATTTACTCTCTGAGTTACTGGGTTTGTATTGATGCTCTCCACTCACAAATGCCTTTGCCTGCTTGTTTTGGGGCTCTGCACTGTTGCTGAATTATTTAGTGCCTCTTGTGTGGTCTGCTCAAACGTCACAGTTCAAACAATTTCTATGCAGTTTTGGAAAACAAAAATGGAATTGAAGTTCTTCCACCACCAGGACAGGGTCAGGTTGCTCTGTAATTCCTCACTGCACGTTTTTTTCCCTAGAAACTTCATTTGAAACAGTTGAAGATCTCCAACCTGAATGTGTTAAGTGCAATCAATTTCGGAGGGGAAGGAACTATGTGCTAAGTAACCCAATTGATAACGTGATTTAAAGGAACTTCCATTGAAAAGAGGACAATCCCTTTGGAACAGTTCTGCTTTTGCATTTAAGGCACCAGAATTATTTTCTCTCACAAAGTTTAACAGCAACCTGATACTGAAAACAATATTGCCAAAATTGTAAATTTTCACTCAGTTTTCCATGCACTAAAGATTAAAATAGCCTCTGTAAAAGATATATATATATTTTTTTATATATATATATTTATATATGAAAACTCTTATGTACAACTGTATCAAATACTTTTCTCTTTACACAATAATCCCTTGCATTTATGTGCTTCATATGCAAGTCAACTTTTGAACACTTCATACTTCTCAGGGAAGTTTTAAACTATGTACAAACAGATGACGCTCGAACAGGAGTTTGTTCCCCATACAAGCTTGTTTCTCATACCTCAGTTTGCCTCTGACAGGTCATCAGTTCAAGATTTGAGGTAGAAGTAAGTAGCCTCTATACTCTGTGCAAAAGAAATATTAAAAAAGGGAAAAATAATAAACTAGTGTGTGTGTGTTAATCTGCACAAGGCACCTGCCCTCTCAGTCCAGCGCTCTATGGGGTGGCTTCAGCTCGGGTGCGTTGCCGTTGGACAGGAGGGCCTGGTTCACTCCTGCTTCACTCTGCAAATCCAGTAGTGTTGGGGGGATTTCGGGAAGCACGTTCAGTTGCTTTAGTGACCCTCCTGCTGGTGAAGCCCTCACCAAGTTAAGGTTATTGAGCTCTGAAGGCTTTGCTGCTGCTTGTGAAGAGCCTGCGAAACAAGCCAGAGAAGCAGCGTGGTTAGCGGGTGCCAACCCAAACCACTCTATGATTCGTGCCCTTGAGCCAGTGAAAAAGCCCGTGGGAGAAA